GATCGCCCTGTCTTAGACCTTGCAATCTGGCCACAGTCGACAGGGGGGGCACCCCAGGCATCTGGTCAGTCATAATATGACCCAGATGTCTAATCTTTGCCATCTTGAAACTGTTATATGTCTAACGTTTACATAGAAAGTGGGAAAATAGGCATGGGATTGTATTAGAATTTAGATTACAGCACAAGTTGTCACTCTCAGTATGTCACTGCTGCCCATTGGTTTTCTTGCTTAAAATGAAGTGGTATTGGTGTCTGGATTGTTCCTTTGAGAACCACAGTCTTAGGGCAGCATAGTATAGTACAGGTATAGGCAACCTTCGGCACTCCAGATGTTGTGGACTACATCCCCCTTTAATGCTCTTACACCCATAATGCTGGCAAAGCATCATGGGAGGTATAGTCCAAACCATCTGGAGTGCCGAAGGTTGCCTATGCCTGGGATATTAAATGCTTGTTATCTCTGTTTAAAAGTGTATTAGACTTTGAAAGATACATTTTGTTCGCATAGCTTTTAAAGTAAATAATAATTTGCTTTTACTTACCATTCATTCTTTAACATTTCTTTTAAATCACCTTTAACCTTGTAAAGCAAAATATAGTAATTCTAGAGAGGTAAGCAATAAAATATATTTATAGACTGATGTTATGAATTATTTTTAAATGTAAATAATATATCACGTTAAACAAGATAACGGTGTTAAAAGGTGTCTTGGAGTTGAGCAATTCAAGCAAAGTTCCATTTTCATTTAGTAGTTTTACAAGGAATGTCTCCTTAGCTAGTTATTTATCTATTAAACTATAGAAAGGTTTCAGAAATAACTCCTGTCCATGAATTCCGTTTCCTTATTTGGGGCATCACGTAATATCCTGTTTTTCTGATAACTGTTTTTGTTTTTTTTGTGTGTGTGTGACTATTTTACCCTAATTAAAGACATTGTAATATGGAGAGATGCAGTCAGTCCAGTTTGCATTTTATGATGGAATAGCCACAAAAGCAAGTTTATCTAATTGAAAAAATAGAATATCAGCTTGTATGGTTGATTCCCCACATTCCCACCCACCAAACTGTTTGTACGTATGGGGCAGTGATAATGCTTTCTAGCTGCAGTCTGTGTGGAATGATATGCCTTGTTTGAGTGACTGCACGCATTATATGGATAGCATTGTTTTACTTGCCAGCTTTTAGACTTGGAAACTACAACCCTCCCGAGCTATTAAATTAGTATACTATTTCAGTCTTTTGGATGTGATATTTTACAGCACTGGGCTTTGTGAGATATATATTTTTTTTATCATTTCAAGATAGGAGAGTGACAATTCTGCAAAAATCACTCACATAGATTCATATAATATATGCAAAGTGTTGTCAAAACACAGTCTGGCATACATTGTAAATCACTGTAATTCTACAGATGGGTCTAAGTTATATGTGAGGTTGTTGCCATTGTGATGCTTAGTGTAAAGATGTTGACAGATGGTGACAGTACCAGTAAGTGCTACTGCGGTGTTTATGCATTATATTTGCCTCTGTTGAATTCCCTAGTAAAAATGTAAATACAAAATAAAAACAAACTTTAGTATATAGAAAATGCTACCCAGGAATGGATTGCCAGATTATTAGATTTGTGTTTACAGTGACTGTAACATGTTGGTGGCACCTGGTTATTTTGTTACTCTTGAAAAGTCTTTTTTGTGAGTAGTGTTTTACTTTTTACTTTTGTGTGTATTATAAACCGAACTGTGACAAAAGTAAAGGAGATTGGTCGTGTTCTACCAATGGTAGTGTAGCAAAAGCTCAGTTCTGGGAAAGGCATTACTTTGTGCTGGCTGTACTTTTCATTTTGACACTTTGGATTAACAGCCTAAACTGCAAAAATCTATTTGTTGCAATAAGTCTTTTTGGAGCTGAAGCTTTGCATATCTTTCTTGTTTATTAAGCGGTTTTCACCAGAATAAATTAGAAGATTTTACCATGATAGACTGTTCCTTTGTTACAGTTACTGCTGTTAGAAGAGATTGGCAGTTCACTATAGAACAAAGGTCTGGTCATACAGACAGAGCAATTAGTGGATTTTCCTGTGTGTATCTTTTCCACTTACCTAATTCTCAGTTAGGTCTACAACAGTGGTCAATTGCAAAAAAAAAAAAAAACCCAGAAGAACCTGGCAATCAGTTTCACTCTCAAAGAAGATACTTTATATATCTGGAAGGCATATTCAAAATTAGTGCAGCTTGTGAGATGGGCCGGTGCAAGGATTTTTGGCACCCTAGGTAAAAGAAAAATTTGCCCCCTCCTCCCCCATGTGACATCACAATTCCCCACCCATATGATTTGCCATATGAACGAACACCAGTGCTGCACATAGTGTGTGTTTACATTAAAAAGCCTGCAGGGACCGGCTATAGACACAGGAACCACTTCATTAATCTGCTCGGGTTCTGGGGACTATAGTGTTCCTTTAATGTGAGGTAAATTAGAGATTAGTGCCACTAATAATATACTAGATTGCCTACTTAC